ACAATAGTGAGGACGAATTTCTTTAACTGTTCTGGAACGTTCTAGTTGAAATATAAATCTGTGATTTTTCTATATTCATAACTTCGACGAAGCAAAGCAAGTTAGAAATACAACTGGACTGATATGCATAAAACGATATTCAATCGTAGTATTAATTTATCGTAAAACATGTAGAAAAATCCGTCCGTTCGGAACAAATCTTAACTTTAGTACCTTTATGCATATACGGGCCCTGAATATAAATCAGATAGGTTCTGCAGGTTTTTGTCTTATTTTCAAAATACATATCTTAAATTGTGACTATCTTTAGTTTCTTATCTTTGATTCTATCTGTATAAACTAACGATCGACAAGTGCGTACATTTTTGTGAAATTAATATTTATATGTTTTAAAATGCCAATAATTATTGACAAGTAGTACAAACTTACATTTTTTCAAATTTTACAGATGGAATTATCTCAATAAATTGTTACTTCCTCAAATCTTTGGTAGGAATTAAATATCATTCATTTAATACACCAGAAATGTATTTCATAAACAAGTGGTAGTAAAATTGACTAACTTCAAATTATGATTTACGAAGTAATAACAACTATATAGTATCATAGACTAGATATAACAAGAACATCTTTTTCCCCATCTAATACAATTGAATGGAAGTCAAAACCACGACAGATGGACTTCCCAAAGTATAAAAATAGTTACCCTTCTACTTAAGTTGTGGTGTTAGAAAACTTGATATTATTCATGGTTCAGAAATATGCGAAGCTCTTTAAATGCAGATCTGCACCGTGTTAATATTAAACTAAATCCCGTATGCAGCTGTAGCCATGCGGTTGAGGATTGTATTCATATTTTTGTCGAGTGCCCATTTCACAACGAAGCAAGATAAATATTGTTTTTGATTTAAAAATAAAGATATGCTATACCAATTGAGCTTAGTAAAGCAAATATTTTGAACCTGTTCAATCTCGTATCAGAAATACCCAAAGATTCAGAACTTCACATACCATTAAAATTCTGAATTCCTACTTATTCACACTTCACGCCAGTTCATATTACAACAATATTATATTGCATTTTGGTTTTTGTTTATAGTTTGAATTACATGCATTCCTATTTTGTTTTTTGTCATTATCTTATGTATTTTGTGTTTGTATTTGTATAAGGAGAGGTGTTATAACTTGTATTCAATCCCATTTGCTACTTTTGGAAATAAAATGTGTTTAAACAAAAAAAAAATATATAAGGTAAACGGGAATAAGTCATACACAAAAAAAAATCCAGTGAAAAGTTACAAACTTGTACATTTGGTACATTTACGTGTATATGTAAGAAAAACAGTCACAGAAATCACTAACCATGTCAATGTTAAGTTTTTAAAACAATACAACAGAGACTAGTAATAGGACTTCAATTTACCATTTTCTGTTCTTTTAATTCGTCTTCATAAACTGTCTATACAGAATATAACACGGAAGGAATCAAAATGTTGAAATAAAGACGTCCGTAGAAATACCGCCAATAACCACTTCAATATTACGCACTAGGGACTTAACGGGATGATATAGTTGGCACAAAGGACATACAATATAAAAGTAGACTATGTTAATATAAATAAATAAACAATTTCAAAAAATTCTATAATCATATCTTTAGTAATTACCATGATTACAGTGTTATTAAATGTTTTATCGACACTTGCCACGCTCTATTGATTCAGATTGTCATCTGTGTGTAATCGATTGAAATTCATGTTCATTCAACCAGAACCCGTTAACTACGCACGTGTATACAGATTGTACACGAATATAATATTTCAGTATTTTATAGTGTTTTTGTTTTATGGGTCTTGTATTTTGTAAAAAAAAAAAAAATCAAAATTTGTGGTATTTCTACGCACCGGAAATTTTAAAAAGTTTTTTTTCCAATACGTTCAATAATTAAAAAAAAGAATATTTTGTTATCACATAACACACGCACAACTTAATTTAAAAACTTACTTGACATTGCTTCATATTTTACTGGATAATCAGAGTTTTAGTGAAGTTGCATGTTGAGTGCAACTTAAGATACAAAACCAAATTGACATTTTGTATAAAACCTGCATACTGCAATAATTTTACATAAACCCTGCATTTTCAACAAATTTCATTTTTTTCTAGGAGAAAAACAATCAAAAGGAAACATTTTCCATAAATTAAATATCTGTTTCCATAGAGAGTAAATTTTCCATCTGAAAAATAAATGTTCCCATGGGAAGAAAAATCGTTCCCATGGGAAGAAAAATCGTTCCCATGGGAAGAAAAATTGTTCCCATGGGAAGATAAACTGTTCCCAGCGGAAAAGGTGAATTCCCATGGGAACTTTTTGTTTTCTTCTTTTCCCATGGGAACTGTAAATTTCCGATGGGAACTATAAAATTCCCATGGGAAAAGTACTTTTTCCGATGGGAACTTTAAATTTTCCCATGGGAACTTCTAATATTCCCATGGGAATTTTTAAATTTCCCATGGGAAATGTACTTTTAATCAGCTGTGGTGACAACAGTGACACCAGTGACATATTGGGACATACGGGGAAATTTAATTTTTTTGATTATCTATCACTTGGCCAAAAAATATTTGTGTTATCTTGTAAACCGACGAAGTCAGATTTGCCAATTCTGGAATGGCAAATTTGTCCCGCACAGTGTTTACGGGTATCTGAGAGGACAAGGAACCAGTCTACTTGTATGCTTGCATACCGTTGATGGTAACACTAGAAGATTTGTTAAACCATAGATGTATATGGGTTTATGGTTAAACAGACGAAAGTGTGATTAAAGAGGAATATATGTAACTGAAATTTAAGTCATGATAAGTTGTACCGAAAAATTCAGCAGATTTTTAACGTACCATTCATATAATTAATAGAAGCAACATATTTTCATCTGAAGGAATTACAAACCTGTTTATTTTTTGATTTACACATTCTTACATGAAAGATCCATGACAAGGTTACGGCTATGGGGAATAAAAAACGAAGAAAAAAATGTAACCAAAATTAAAAGTGATATATATAAATGATAGAAAGAAATGCTGTGATGTTTTATGAAGTGTTTGAACTTCCATTAATATAGTGAGTACCCAGCACGACAGAGATAATATTATATCTATTAACACGCACAACGCTAAAGAGACTACACACGGAACGTCTTGGTAAATCACTTTTCGCTCAATTTACGACAAACGTCATTAATACCAAAGGCATTCGCTGCATGCACGTGCAGACTACCATTGCTCCTGAGATAATTTAGTTGCAAAAAATAATACTACTTAGAAAAATAATTGGATACGAAAAAGAAATTTTATGAAATGCATTCGATCTGTTTGAAGTTTAATTACGACTTTCAAACTTGCAGGAGGTGATTACACCTCTATGGAAAGATACTATCACGGTTTTTAAAATATTTTTTTATGAAAAATATTAAATTGATTTTACCAAACAAAATATAAGTACATTCTACACCTTCTTTACCGTCTAAATATTTTTAAATTACTAACTTGCTCAGAGCTAAATTAAGACATGTCAACAACTTCGTAAATGTCGTCAATTATTCCATAAATGATAATAGCAATAGAAACATTTTTTTATAATGAATATCCTTCAACAAGTTTTATTTTCAAAAGAACTGGTATTAGATTTTTTTAAGGAGGTAAAATGTATATTACCATACAAACTTGTTTTTACTTCAATAGAAAGTTATAAAATCAATCCCCTACAACTGATTATAATAATAACATTTATGTAGCGGCAGCTAATGCCCTGGAAATTGATTAACTAAAGGAGGTGGAAATAAAGCGGTAAACACTGCGCAAGCCAAGAAGGATAATTTGAGATTCGAAATTTGAAATCCATAATAAAGTATCTTAATCTTAGTACTAATATTTTAGTTTACTATCACATAAATCAATGTAAACACAAACATCTCAATATAGAAAAATCTCTCACGAAAACGGCAAACGGAGTGATCCATAGGGCACCGAAGGGGTAAAAAAGAGACAAAAATACTAAGGGGACAATATAAAATGATAAATAAAAAAAAATAATAAAGAAAAACATGTAAAAAAAAAAGAACATCAGTCTTCACAACACTACACAGAAAACCGAAAACTGACGACACCCATAAAAAACCAAACAAAAACAAATGAAGATATAAACATCGGGGTGAGCTCAGGTGCTGCGGATGGGTAAGAATGCCGACCCTGCTCAACTAACGGCTCCTAAAGTGTTGATCATACAGGAAAAGATGACACAATTGTAGCTTTTACATTTGGGACATATCCGTCGTCATCTGTGACACTCATATTCAATAACTGTCAACCAGATCATGGTGGAGTCTATAAAACTTCTCTTGCATATCATACATTACTCATCATTCGTTGGACGTTCTCTAAGTCACAACCAGCAGAGAGTAACAGAACCGGTGCTTAAATCTGGATGACATTAGTGGACTTGTTGGATATAAAAATATCACTGGGAGCCATGAAACATACATACTGTACCGAGTAAAACATTTATTTAAGTTATGTAAACTTTTTTATCAATGAAATATATTCCAACAATTAACAAATACACTGCAAAGTTTATCCAAGTAGAGAAATTGAAACTGAGTTAAAATAATAAAGTAAAATCGATAGATATACAATAAGTTTGATATATTTCTAAACTTATAAATACAACAGTACATTGATGTTTCAATTTTTTCTTGCCTGCATCGCCCAAGCTTCAGGGTTTTTCAGTGGCAGATCCGCCTCTTCTCTTCACTGTAATAGAGAAACATTTATTTGCAAGAGACGTTGTAAAATTATTTTTGAGTCTTTATTTTATTTATATTAACCAATCCTGTTATAAAGTGCTGTACTAGGTATATACACACATATATATATTGTATACATGTCAGTCTCTACAATTAAAATACAAATTTTATGTTAAGAAGTACATTTACATTTAACAGTATTTCGAGATATCCGAGTGATAGTTGACACAAGTCCATCAAACATTGAGAGTATAGCTGTAGATTGGATAACTGGTCATCTATTATGGTTAGAGTCTTATCCAGCAAGTCTTAAGGCGTCAAAATTAGATGGAAGCGACCCAACAGTTATATATACATTTATTGATGAGAGGAAAGTTCCTAAATTCCTAGTTATAGATCCACTAGCAGGGTATGTATCCAAACTCTATGCATAATCATTATTTGGAATATATTAAATTTGCCTCTAAGACTTTATAACATAAAAGATATAAAAAAAATTTCGCAAACTAATTATGTTTAAACATAGAAATAAGAAAAAAAAATAGATCACTGCAAACAAGAGATATAATAAAACAGCTCCTAATAATTGTAAACAATTTTAGAGGAAGTATTTTGCGAGAGGTTAAGTCGCCACTCAGCAATGTGTGGTGAGTATGCTCTGTTATCTAGTATATTAGAATCCTTTCCCATGTTGTTTCTCAAAAGTATCTGCTAACATTTGTTTTTCTACTGCTAGTACCTATGTTAATTTTCTATCAAAACAATATGTCCGTTTTTAGTACATGCTCAACGTAATTAAAGCAACCCATGTCAAAAATAAACCTCAATTTATTGAAACAATTTGGTCTTATGTTTTCAATTTAAAACAGTTGCAGTTATATAATTACAGTTTTGCCTGAAACATTGAACCAAAGTTAAACTACAGCCGTTTTTGTAAGTCAATTTTACAGAGAATTCAAAAGGTTTTGATTAATGAAAACTAAGATGTATTCTTCTTGTATATGTTTTAGGTATTTGTTTTGGATAGATTCTGAAGGTGATCTCTATGCTCCAGGTGCTTGTATAGAACGATTCAACTTAAGGGATAATGAAAGATCTACAATATTTAACATTTCCAAGGATGAGTTACACAACATGGGTCGACCCAAAGGCCTCACATTAGATATGAATGCACACAAACTTTACTGGACTGATGCTCGGTAAGAACATGCCTTTCTTATTTTATACATAAGGAAATGCCTGTACTAAGTCAGGGATATGACAGTTGTTTTCCATTAGTTTGATGTTTTTGAGCTTTTGATTTTGCCATTTGATAAGGGACTTTCCGTTTTGAATTTTCATTTGAGTTCGGTATTTTGTTATTTTACTTTTTCCATAAATATAATTGCTTCAAACGATTAAAAAAAATATATATATATGTACTTTAATATTTAATAAAAAATTTCAAATACTAAGTACCTTTAATATACAAATACTTTACTTTAAAAAAGGCAAGAAATAAATTATGATAAATTGAATCCGGGTAATTGTTTTTTTAAGTTAAAATGTTATGATTCTAAATGCAGTTTCTAAACGTAACGTGGATTAAAATGATAAAAGGGACATTTACATAACGCTTATTTTTCATCAAATAGTCCAAAGTTTGTCTAAACAAATTTTTCCACAAATAAAGATAGTTATTGTGGATGTATGGGTGTACATGCACGAGTTTAATGAAAAGTGGTAGTTCACATCCAACTTTTTATGGTAATATCATTTAATACTCATTCTCTGTAACCACTTAAACTTTTTCGGCACACATAGTCACCGATCTTTCTGAAAATTGGCTGATATGTAGATCCTATTAGACTAGTCAGAAAAATAATGTCAACCGATATATATATTGGTTGGTTACCATGGTAACAGCAGAGAAAGTAGGGATTTTTGAGAAAAATACAATATTTGGTGTAGTGTTGTGAAATTATGCGGCTACATCTATTAAAAAGAAACACAAAAACAATTAATTTCATTCTTGTTTTAGTCAAAATTCAAAAAAAGTTATGAGGAATCTACCTAGAAACATGCGAAATTCATTTCTAAAAAATGATCATTGTGCAATTTTCTCCTTTGATGGGTTACACTAATGACTGGACCAAAACGAAAACGCTAATAACTTTTTTATTTCTCAAAGGATTTATGTCAAATTTGAATTGTTATAAATTTAGACCATTCAATACATAAATATAAGAAAAAAAAATATAGAAAACTTTTTTAAATCTTCATTTAAACGTGACCTGACCAACGCTGACAATGCCAGGACCAAATGAAAATGCTAATAACTTTTTTTATTTCTTAAAGGGTTTATGTTAAATTTGAAATATAATAAAGTTTAAGCATTTAATATATAAATTAATAAAAAAAATATAGAAAAAAATATATAATATTCAGATAACGTGACCTTTCTAACGTTGACAATAACCTGTCCAACAATAGCAATGACCTGACCGATGAAAATTTCTGTGTTATTTTATATTATTTAAAATTGTTTTTAAACTTGTGTATCATCATGAAATTGTTTCCATAGCAACACAGTTAAAACTATAATACCGTTATGTATCAATATGTTTCAAATTTTGATGATTACAATCATTTCTACAAATTGTAAATTTGTTTATTTCTTTCTGACTGCAAAATTAGGTTTTAAAACATTTTTTTCAAAAATTTTCAAAAATTTTTTTTTCTGAAAAAATGAAAACTAAGCATTTTGTAGCCATGGTAACAAAAAAATGAGACATACTTCCCCATTACTTTTTCGCATCATTGATAAGATAAGACTATGGTATTTATGAATTGATGGTTGACTTTAACTCAGGTGTCCGCAAAAAATTATGGTGAGCATTCAAAAATGACCTCAAAAGGGTATTTTTTACCTAATGCAAACCACATAAAAAGGGGGGTATATGTGATTATGATTGAAAATGAATATGAAAATATCAGTTATTAAATTACATTAATAAAATGCACATATTTAATAAAATCATAAAAAAATATTCTTTCTTTTTATCATTTATTATGAAATATTATGTTTAAATAGCCATTTTCAGCTTAAAATCATAGATATCCAGAAGAGATAACACTGGTCATCGGTTGCTATGGCAACCGTCATGCTTAGCAACCAAAATTTTGCCATTTTTTGTTTGTTTCATCAAGACTAGTAAGTGTGTGAAGTTTGAAGAAAATCCATGACCATGCGTGCCACACTCCCTATATAAAGTTTAAATAGTTACAGAGAACCAGTATTAAAATGCTAGCTGATTTAGTAATTGTCCATCAATATTTGTTTTCTTAAAAATAGACTTTATCTTTGTGTCTTTTGTATGAACATCAATTCGTTGATTATAAGTTTGACTCAGACTAGATATTCCGCTTAACATTCTGCATTTAAAGTGTGTACTGTTTGTTCTAGTTTAGTCATCGAGATTACTTACAAAACTTCTTTTTTGATATGAGTATTGAGACACACAGCCGTCATCTTCAGTATGGACGACTACACTGAAAATTGTGAATACATTTTTTATAAGTACAACATAAGCTGCCATTTTCAACAGCAGATATGTTTTCGCTAGAAATATTTTAAGTTTTGTTGTTCTTCGATGTAGTAGACCATGTGATTTGTCCAGTGTATTTTAAATTTTTTTTATTTTCAGATCCGAGTCTCTCCAGTGTATTGATTATAATGGCAAAAACTTCCAAATATTAGTAACTAACCCGAATTATCTTGGAGAACCATTAGCTTTATCTAGATACAAAACAAATCTGTTTTGGTCTGATCGGGACACGAAGTCCATAGGCAAGGTATATGCATATGTATGTGAAGAATTGTTGCTTACATTTTATCTGTGTTTCGGATATTGTAAGGTTGAAATTAAAGGAAAAAAAATGCATAAGAATAATAAAACTGTATAATTATTTCCGCAATAACTGTTCAAATTTTATAACCGCAATGGACATGGACAGTAAGTTATTATCAATACTCCATATGTAAGGGTAAAATAAAGAAAAGAATCAAGAAAACATGACAAAATTACAATTAAAGATATACTAAAAAAATCAAATGAAGTTGTAAAGCTACACTGAATAATTATATATGTAAATAAATACATGACATATAATTTTGTGAAACGCTTTACATCGAACGGAAATTGAAAAAGCCTTAATTTGTGACAGAGGGATTCGTGATAAACTAGCATTATCTTTATGTTTGTTTTTAAATTGTTGTCCTCTCACTTAATAACTCGAAGTGATCAAATTTATCTTATTTGAGCTAGAATATAGGATACTATAGAAACATCTAGGTCTTTTATACTTTGACTTGCACCTGAGAATTGACAGCTATGAATGGTTGCTAAAATGTACGAAATTTTTTAAAAGTTGACTTTCCATTTCTATGTAGCAGCATTCAAACATTGCCTACATATAAACTTAATCAATTATTTTCTTGATCTTGCGTTCTTATCAGTATTTCTCTGATACAGAGTTCTAGGTAGGGTTGTTAATGGTAAGGTTGAAGTCATATCTTCACAAATATGGCGGACGCAGTTAGGACTTAATTGACATTCACGTTATATTTATATCAAAGAAATTTGTGTTGTTTTTCACTATTGTTTTATTGTTTTATTTCGTCCCTTTTTCCTTGGTTGCAGTGTTGTACAACTTCATCAAATTATGTTTTTATGATGTTACCCATATCTGTCCTTATGCGTTTCCATCCTACAGTAATTCCGAAATCCAATAGTTTTCCGTACTTATTTCGTTAAGGCTACACATATTGAGTGGATTTTTGGTTGGGAAATTACTGATGGTGGTCAGACCGATGATATTTCATGATTTAGCACTTTTCTACATTGTTTTCGTTAAGTTTTTACATATTTAGTTTTTGGTCCGTTATTGTATGATATAAAATAAATTAAAACATTGTGGTTTTCATGCCATGTTTATACATATATTTGATTTGTAGCTTGATTTTTTCTCTTCTTTCTTACAAACACGTTCTAAAGTATGTCCGAATGATTTAGACGTGATGCACTATGTGACCAACTTTTGTAATGTTTGTAGTATACATTTTATGCATGTCAATATGATAGGCAATTAAGATCATCAAAATTCCCTTAAAATAACGGATTTGCGAGAATGTAAATTTATTGATAATCACATATGAGATATAGGAACAATACATATTTGCTACACGAAAAAGAACTAAAATAATGATTGTGCTGTTAAAATCATTTACATATAATATATCATCATATAACATAATTTTACTGAACGTTTTTATTACAGATTGATTTAAAGAACGGGAAGAAGCCCTCATTTATAGAATCATTGATAGCATCACCTGCTACCGACCTGAAAGTATTTCATAAGGATGTTCAACCAAAAGGTATATCAGTACATATATTTTATGTAAATTGTTTTTTAAAATAATAGTATATGTCAATGCATTATACAATAAGTATCGGAAAAACTTAATTTGTTTGTAAGACATAAAAATAAATAAACACATTATTAATTCTTCACGTCGGGAGTGCTTTACTTAATTTACCTTCATCAGGTACGCGTTGGAATACATAAATACTTGAGAAGCTATATGATCAAAAGAGACATTAAAACAATGACCAAAATCAACTTACGTTAGCTTTGCCTGGGGAGTTGGAACCTTAGTTTCTTTATAATATCTATATATTTTTTTTCAACTTACAGGAAAATTAAGGACATGTAGGTTATAAATCATTTCCGTGGCATTGTACTGACTTATGAAAGTTAGACGAACAATGCTTTATTTGATACATTCATATTTATTTAATGTTTAAGATATGTTTAGGAGACCTTGGGAGACCTTTTTTAAAAACGATATTTGTTTAATGTTGTTTGGATGGCAAACATGGTGACACTAGTGACATAAAATTTCCATTTAAAAACTCTATGGAAAGTCACATTTTCAACTTCTTCTCTGAAACTAGTTTACCAAATTTACCACACTTAAATGGAGTATATACGGAAGGTTTTCTAAAAAGAGGATTATCATATGATTCTGATGAGCTGAAAAATGTTTCCGCAAATGACATTCTACCATTCTGATATTTTATAAATCAAATCATTTCAAACTGGTCCTCTTGTTTTTCCCATTTTGATCTATTGATGTCGCAAATGTTCATTTTTATACAAATCACAATGAAATCAAGTTGAAATAACGCCACAAACACATACACATCTATATGGTAGACCTTTATTCACACCTTCGAGCTCAATCAGCCATTTTACCCGAAAATTACAAATCAATACATGTACGTGTATTTTTCACTATTCTAATCGTAAGCTTGAAATACTTTCCTTTTTTGGCAGTTGCTTGGCAGGTGTTTGATCCAGATCAATTTCAATCAAAACACCTCTTAATCAATTGAGTTCACTAGAGCACCGATAACGAGTTCTTAAGAGTACACAGGACTTCCAGTGTTTATTTCAACTAGGGGTAAAACTCATCAAAGATGTCAGGCTTATAATTTGGACGCCATACACGCGTTTCGTCTACATAAGACTCATCAGTAAAGCTCGAATCAAAACAGTTGGAAGGCCAAATCAAATACGAAGTTGAAGAGCATTGCAAACCCAAAATTCCCCCCAAAAAACCCAACTTCTCAAAGTTTTATATTAGCCTCAATATCTACTATGCACTTGTATTTTACATCTGTTTTGGGTTTTAGTTTAAGGTGTTTTCGACAAATTATACTTCCAAGCTTTTACTTTATATTCTGTGTTTGTACAAAGATGGTTTTGTTAATGCTAATTCAATTTAATTTATTTCAGGCAAATCGCATTATACCATCAAACTGGAGAAATCGAGGAAACCAAACGGAGCTTGTGTTTCCTATGGAAACTTCCTACCGATTTTGACAATTACTTTGCTGTTAATTACTTGTTTTCGTTGAAAATTTATTAAAAATCAACATAATTTATTTTCAATATTGTACAAAATACAGTTTTAGACATGATTATCTGATTTCTTTGTCATCTCTCATATCCTTTGGATCATTTTGATGAGTACATTCTTTTGCATTTGAACACTTGGATTTTGTCTTGTTTTTTTGTAATATTTTATCCTGTTTTTCAAAAGCATGGTACGTTACAGAATTATAAGGGAATAAAGAACACCCAACGAACGCATGCTCTAATACAAGTGTCTGATCCATCAGTTTTATTATTTCTAAATAACCTAAAAACGAATTTCAAGGTTTTTTTTTAAATTTAGAAATATTCTAATCAAAGTGAGCAATATGTCGCTATAAGATGCCTTTTCAATAGTAAGGGTTCTAAGGATACTGATAACTCTAAGCGAGTAATATTTTGTTGTTGTCAAATTTGCAAAATTGCGACATTTGTTAACGCATTTATGGCTTTAAAAACGACGCCGATGGATTATTTTTAAATTTGAAATGAAACGGAAACAAGTTATGTTGAAACTTACTAATTATGACCACACGTTCTTGGTCGTACCTTTTTTCGTGTTATCTTGATTTTTAATAACTTTAATAATGTATATAAGTAACGCAATAAAAAATGAAAAATATGTAATGTAATGATAGTTTGCTTACCTCCATGGAAATGCATTTTTTCTTAAATCAATTTGGCCACTTCAAACAGTAAGTATGATTAAAAGATAAAATCTTGTTACATGCGAAATAAAAAAGCTTTTAAAAAAATTTTAACATTGAGAAATGTTAAACGACTCAATATAATTTATTTGTAAAAAGAAAAAAGTCCGTTTTTCAGTTGTGACGAAATCGATCATGGATATAAAGATTAAATGCATCATTAAAATCCTAACATTTGACGTTATAAAATCATGGGATTTAAAAATCAAGTTTAAATTTGAGCAAATATAGAAGTGAGAGTATACTGGTCTTAATTACACTTCCACAAGAAAAAATGAGAAAACAATTGGTTCCGATATTCATGACTTGGGTACACTGTTGTATCTCAATAAATTTGACGAAAGATGCTGGTATAGATCGACAAGGTATGTACAGCCAGGATGTATCTCTGCATAATTACATGGTCTATGAGAATTTTTAATTTTCATAAAAAAAATTTAAGGAATGACAATTTTGTCTAAAAATTTAGACGCGTATATTTCAAATGTTAATAAAGATATGTTTGATAATTTTTTTTTAAACAAAATGGCCCTATTAAGAAATTATTGTCATATTTTTTTTTAACGAAGCAGAGAAAATAAGTCCGCAGTAAGTATACAGTGTCTGATAATAATATTTATATTTATTTATTTATTTTATTTTGTTTAGAATAAATACAAATAGGTCTTCTTGCACATAATTTAGCAAATAAAGAATTTTGTTTTCTGTATTATGGAATGAGAAATCTGTATTTTTTTAATTATTGTAACCGTTGACAAGAATTTTCCATGACTCTAATTAAAATTAAAAATCACCTAATATGTCCCCCTTCTATTGTTGATGATAAAAATTGACGACAAGCTTCATCGAAATTATTTTGTTATTCTGCTGCGACCAACGTTTCCAGAAAGAAAGTATGAATAGAAAAATGCATAAAATCAATGTTTTTCTCTAGCTACGAGATATATGCCCATAGTTGATGTACTTATGACTTCACACCATTTTAAATCTGGTTAAATCATTTATATTTCTTGAGTTTTTTCATTTCCGTATAATATGAGAAAATGAGTAGCTGTCAAAAGTTTCGTTGTGTTATTTAAAGAGTGAAATGAATCTACATACAATATTTGCATAAAACCGGTTAGTTGCAGAATCATCTGAATGAAACGAAGTCCGACGCGTTTTTACCAGTAAGTATGATTCTACCTTCATGGGTTGAATAATAAACTCATCATAAAACATGGTATGTCACACTCAGTTTTATTAATAATATTATCTTCTAAAACACACAAGTTTAGGATTTGTTCACTTATGATTTTATCTTCTTTTGAGATTACTTAACTTATTTTTATGGACTTCCTCTTTTTGAATTTACCTTGGAGTTCGGTATTTTGGTTAATACTTTTTTGATTAAGGATATATTCACACTGCTGTTATTTTTGGGGTTAACATCAACACATTAGTTTATAGTTCGAAACCATACCAAAAGGTTTACTCTGGGCCCGGAACAAGATCGTGTCTTACAGGACGATTATAAAGTTGTTTTATGAGAATAGCGGCCTATATTGTATACGTAAGGTGTATGGAAGAATAGATAAATTACAGTAAGCTTGCTTATGTAACTGAATATTTTCGATACGATATTATTGTTGTTGTGTTTGTACTCAAGGTTTTGTTATCTAGTTTAGCGGTATCGAGAGTTGAGTTGTTTTCATTTTTCTTTTTCGTTTTTTTATTAGGTTCGGAAACGTAGCTCGTATGGTCGTTGTGATATTTTATTGAAAATTAACAGAATGATCAAAAATAGAATTACATGGACGCTATGAGCTACGGTTCCACAACTAGTTCGTTTACGGATTAAGGGGAGAAGGTTGATACCTCGAAAAACTAGTTTAAAGCCGTCATATGTTCATGAACCTCGTCACTGGTAGTCAAATGTCCATATGACAAAAAATTAACAAGCTTAAACAAAGATGGTATGTTGTCAAAGAATAAAAATTCGATATGGAATAAAAGGAACCTTTGTGGGAAAGATAATGAAAATAGTCTTACGTCCCTGACTTTAATATGAATAAATACACGTAAAAAGATATGGAAAATAAAAGAGCGATCTAACACAAAATTATTCAAGATAAGAAAAAGTTAAATAAACGACTGGAATCGACACTACATACGTTTTACGGTCACCATCACAATTTTGTTGACCGATACGATGTGTCGGTTTCTCAACTTACCTGCGACATGTTTTCGTGGTCATAGATCTTCAGACACCAGCAAATTAGTCTGACCTGTAATTTTGTGTTCTTTTCTGTTCTATTCCCTTTTGTGACATTTTGACTGAGTGTGAATTCGAAGAGTGATGCATGCATAGCAGTAGATGCTTCCCTGTTGACGCAACCGGTGTCGTTTCTTTTGGAATTTATGTGATTCCTCTTATTGTGTTTGTTACCTTGATTTGTCTCTTCCTAATCAATTTATTAGATTTGAGCATCAGTAATCTACTGTTGCCTTAATTTATTCATGATTCGGATTCATTCGTTTTGTATGAATATTAATCTCGACATTAATCTTCAAATTATTTACTTTTCTGCCCTGCTTGTACTTAAACAGATTAGATGTTGTTTCCTTAATTAGTCTTTTAAATGAATCTCACGATCGGTTTGAATCCATATTATGTCATTTGGTCTGTTGGCGATTTACTTTTTTAGGTATATATTCGTTTATTTTTTTGTATTAAATGTTCATGTACGTTGATTGTATGCATCATCAACGTGTGTCTGCTGTTAGATAAGTGATCCCCATTGTTAATTAAGGACACTCTGGTTATGTCATAGAGAAACAGATAACGTTTCACCGCCGTATCTCGTATAATAGATATGTGACCCCTCTTGCCAGATCTAAAATGTTATATTACGTAATTTAAATGTCTCGAGGGTAGAAATATCGAATAACACACGATGGAATGGTGGAATCTAGATACAAAAAAACTTCTTTAAAATTTTTGTGTTGTTGTTATGCTGCTGTTGATGTTTCCTACAAGATTATGGATGGAAAACTATACAAGAAAATCAGACATTTTAAGACTTTCTTTCAGTGAAATGTGCACATATTCTCACGTAATCATGACATCACAACATTGTGTATCTTGTCTAATTCATTCATTTTTTCTTGGATTTATACATTTCGTCTTATTATAAACAACTTAATGAAGTTGTCAATTTCTTTTCCTGGAACTAAATGCCCCGCCTCCCCCCCCCCCCCCCCCCCCTCCACTTTTTTTTATTTTGAGAGAGAAATATGACATATGAATTAACTAGCTAAAACAAAGAAAAATGGTATGTCACATTCAGCTTTTAACAATTATTTAATCTTTTAAAGTAAACACTAGTAAATCAATTTTGATCTGAAACGTTTGTTTTCAATTATGATGCATCTTTATCGAAGGGAAGTCTATTTAATACATTTATAAATGTATATTGTAATAATATTTTTATCACAACATTTATCTGAAATTAAGAAGGATGTACCGTTGGACTACGTCACAAGGTGCGATAAAAAAACATGACATTTCAAATGAGTGAATTAAGAAATGTTTAGTTATTTTTGCTTACCTTAAAGCACATGCTTAAAAGGATCCTATGACATATTGATATGAACTAAGTAGCTGAAACAAAGACGGTACATGATAAAAAAATACAAATAAGACGTGGAATATAGGGAACCTTTTTGCTAAAGATTATGACCATGGCCCTTGTGTGGAATAAAATCAGACAAAGAAATGGGCTTATGTTTGTAATTTATATTTTCTTTTTAATTCTTTGAAGTGAAACGTATTAAACCTAAACCCACTTATTTAATTAAAAAATAACAGTCTTTATCATTTTTTTTTAAATATCAAGGTTTTAAAAATGGAGTTGATTTCAGAAGCCGGATATAAATTGATTATGTTTATCTAGATATATTTTACGTTATGGATTTGATATGAAGCAATACACGTGAAAGATTTAGAAACACCATGACACTACGACTTAACACGAAATCATTCATAATAAGAAACAGTAAAATTTAAATTTAAATATGTGTACTTTATGTGTACAAAACTTAAAATTTTTCGAAATACTGAGGATTGTCTAACAAATGAATAGATTACCTTAGCTGTATTTGGTAAAACGTTTTTGGAATTTGGGTTCTCAATGCTCTTCGACTTCGTTATCTTTTTTAGCTTTTAAAACATCTTTGATTCGAGTGTTATCGATGAGTCTTTTGTAGACGAAACGCGCGACTGAGGCACAAATTTTTAATCCTTGTATCTATGATGAGTTCAATTTCATTCTTGTAATCTACAAGTTGTAAAAATATAAGTTTCTACATTTATATTCAAACTATTTACGTTGTTACTCTACTTGTTCTTGGATAGATTAGATGGGTTAAAATTAATTTAGATTCCCCAGCATAAGCCTTTAAAAGGCATTTCCATCTTAGTTCTGTTTTGATCCATATTTTTCATTTGGTCTGTAGGAGAGTTGCCTTTCTTTAGGTATGTATTCGCTTTTTTTCTAGAAATGTTCATATAAATCGATTCTATGCATCGTCAATGCCTGTCTGCTGTAAGACCCCTAGTGTTTTTTTAGGGATACGCTGGTAATACCAAAACCTAGGTAAAAAGCGGAGGAAGTAACTTTCCCGTTTGGTGTTCAATTAATATCTATCAGAGAGCTTATAGGCGTTACTTTGGTTAAAATTTAGAAAACAATGAGCAATAAAATGTGCTCCCGTAAATTGACATATCTAACATTATTGGAATAAATACATGAATCCTCTGTGGAATTAAACCCCAAGCTGATGAGTCATCACTAGCGGCACTGTGTCCAGTGCCCTACACCACTTGGCTCATCATAACAAAAAATAATATCTTGATGATTTTCCTCGTTAGTCTTACCTAGGATTGGAACATACTATGCTATATAATGACATGGATATGGTTTATCTGTACAGTTTAACTTTATCATGACCCCATTACTCTGCGGCTCGGGCATTTATTATTACCCATGTCCACTGATAGGTATTCTGAGACAAATCCTTAATGAAAATATTGTATTATGCCACAACTTTCACAACAGTCTCTAAATTCTAAAAATGACCAATCTTTACTTCCATGAAAACCACTAAAAATAAGTTAATTACAAAAGCCGTACAAAGGGTTGTTGCTGATGAACTGTTAGACTTTCGGAGAATCTCCCTCTCAGTAGTTAGTGCTATCAGTTTATGCATTCCATGAAAGATAACCTCTTGTTTCATATTTTAAAGTTATCCATTTGGTTTATGTTAAGTTGCAGCACTATGGGTTATTGTCGTTTTGCATTTGGTCATTGTGCTATCCGTTTTTCTTCGACATTAATTTATTTGTTGCCTTTTTGCTATTTTTTTCCTTATGCGTGTAATTTTACCTAACCCAACGTTGCAATTTATTCCTGTAACATTTGATTTTATACGACTATTGGTTCTATTTAGATCATACCTATGTGACCTACTAGTATATACCGTCTTTGTCTCATTTTGTATGAATTTATGTCATTTACCATATGGACACCCCCCCCCCCCCCCCCGATGATTTTCATGGTTTTTTTTTTCACTTAACAGTAACTTCTGCATGATATACATGTACGTTCCAACATTGCCCACTTTCTAGATCTACTCTTATAAACACAAAAAAAAACCAAACTAATGCGAATTTTAGGAAACCCGTTTTTATCGAATCCTCTTTCCTCCATCTTGGGATGTTGTCATAATTGCAGTTATGGACATCAGTATAAATCAGTTTTGTTGTAAGGGGTCTAAGGTGAATTTGGTATCCATAGGTGAAGAAAGATACAGTTTTTCATTTTTTTAGGAAAAAAATTCCAAAATGTCATTAAACAGTCCAATGATTGAGTAGAACTTTCTATTTCTTAAATGTCGAATATATGTTGTGTTTCAAAAGGAATTGTCAGAACATTAAACAGTCCATTAAATGTTATTATCACAGAAATACTTTTTGTTTGAGGCATTTTATGTGGGACAACAATTGGTCAAACATGTGTAAATATTTATGGTTGTTAGAATTTCAAGGTTTAAATAAAGGCAACAGTAGTATACAGCTGTTCAAAAGTCATAAATCGATTGAGAGAAAACAAATCTGGGTTATAAACTAAAACCGAGGGAAACACATCAACTATAAGAGGAAAACAAAGGAACAACAGAAACACTGAAGTGCAACAAAAACAAAAGCCAACATACATAGAAACGAACTATTTGATAACAACTGCCATATTCCTGACTTAAGTTATCTAACAATGAAGCAACTGTTACAGGATGGTATGATTTAAATCTAGGTGTGACGATCAATATTCAAAAATATTAAATACCATGACCAAACCTTTATGATCTCGCCAATATTGTCATTGATATAAGAATAAGGTTTTGTTGTTGTTATTTATGTGGGTTAGCAGACTATTCTCTTGTAAGCCTAGCGGGAATGTTGTTTGCTGTGTGAATGCTAAATATACTTTGTTTGAAAATCTAATAAAACGAAATACAATGAAATAGGATCTGAGCAATATACATTTTCGAAAACTTGTCTATATTAGCTATTACACCTACGCATAGGACAACAGGTAACCTTTTTCGGAGAAGATGTACAACGATCACAGGCATTTATAAAACATTTATCTAATTAACATTTGAAATACTTTGTAAAAAATGTTTTCGCGCCCCCCTCTCCCACCTCCCGCCCTCTACCTCCAACCTCCCTCAAAAGCTGTCCACCCCCTCATTTGTTACTTTATTGGCTCTGTTTAGTAGCTGAGAATTGACCGATTTCGGTATTGTAATCTGTAAAAAAGTGGGGTCTTTGTGTAAATTATTAAAGCTTTACACATAAACAAGAACGGGTAAAGAACAATGTATAAATGTATAGATGATAATTTATGATACTTTATTTAAGAGAACTGCTGACATCGACGATAAACTAATCCTGCATAGATACATGAAATGGCAGATAATTTGTTCATTGGGTGTCTCTAAAGTATCCCGAATGCTTTATAGCACTTTAATTCGCCAATTGTATATTCTACAGTAACACGGTAATTCCCGTTAAAAGTCTTTTAAATTTCCTGCATTTCCCATTTATATTGGCAGGTTTAGAGCAATTTACTTCCGTTTATATAAAGTCTTTATATAGGATACCAATTTGGATAAATTTTATCTGCTAACAAAAACAGTCATCGGGAAAAGTCAATTCCTGACCTGTTAGTCGCATTAGCATAAAATGTTAAACTGTGTCCAAGAAAACTAGATTGTATATAGCAAATATCACCTAAAGAGTTATCAACAATAAAACAAAAAGATGAAAAACGAAATGAAGTCGTCGCTTATCTTTCCAATGAAGAGAGTGAATATTAAGAGAGTGAAGATGACAACGCTGCATCAGACGACAACTCTGTCGATCGTTGTCAGTTTATTTTCGACTTATGAGTTTGAATGTCCCTTTGGTATCTTTCGCCTATCTTTTGCAGAATTTATATGTTTTACCTCTGCGACTCCAACCAAGTTTTACGAGGTGGTTCATTCAATATATTTCGACATTTTGATATGGTCCGTTTATTTTTTTAGTCAGTGCAGGAATTGGTATTGGTATAATTGTCTGTCTAGACGACTTTTCGAAAAAAAAGTGTTCGGTATTGTTGACACTGATGAGACATGTTGAATAAAAGATAAAAGCAATAAACAGAATACATGGATATTTATCAAGCTATTGATTAACAATGATTTTGTCGGTATCAGACAAATATCGACTTAAGTATTCAGCTCGGTCAAAATATTAACATGTATATCTTAGACGCAATATGGTGTCAAATACTGTAAGAGAAGGTACATGCATATTTTTGTTCTATTTCAGAAGTAGTATCTATTGAATATATAGACGACGAAAGTGTAAATAGACGAGAGAGGAGAGATACAGATATTTTCAAGTCCAAGTTAAAATTCAGTTTACGTTTAAAAGATCAAAAGTTTCAACTAAACTTGAGAAAACAAAACGTGAAAGCTACAGTACCATTATACATGTACGAGAATGGTTTTATCGTCAAGCATGAAGCAAGACCTAAAAAAGTAAGTGCAATTTACAGCTCTTATAGTTACATCTAGCTCGAGAAAAGGTACGACCTGGACGAAATTCTTAAATGTAAAGTAAAAGTTTTACATGAATGAGAGCATTGTTTAAAATTCCTCTGGTGTTAATTATGATGTACAAACAATTATGGCTATTGAATAATGTCCTGGTATTTTTTTCTTTATCGTTTTATCAAGCTGCTCAAATATATAAATGTTGATTTTCAGAAAAAATTTACTTCGTTTTTAACCAGTTCGTTTGATTATGATTTAGAATAAATGTTTATTTAGGCGACCTACATTTGCATGATTTCGACTGTTGATTTGCTTCATTAAGTTTGCCCGAATTTACATGTAGTTTCTCCGAGTTTTTACCTGTATTTTAATCCGGAGAATCATTACTGGAAATTTTCAGAATTTTTGCTAAAAATTAATTATATTTACAAATATAACAATTATACTGAAAAAGGCTATATTCGTTAATATAAAGAAAAGAATTCCCTTTAAAGTCCTCTTATTGACGGAATGAGCATAGACATACATGAAGTGGGGTTCAAAAAGAAGTCTTTTACTGAAGGGAACTTTCAGGAGCATTCTTCTTTATTTTGTTGCGAATTTGTAATATTTCTAATTTACGTTCATAACTTCCATGATTGTCTTCAGATATTCCCGTGGACAGTACTTTACATTCGCGATCAGTTCTTTTTTAGATTTGCACATTTTCCTGGTGTTCTCTAGGAAATGTCTCACCTTATGTATGGACGAAAAAATCCTTCATATGCATAATATGGCTATTAAACAGTTCAAATTCATTTCAGATTATTTAAATTTTAATCGATTTTGCTTTATTTCAGAAATCATATTTTTTTCTATAAAAATTCTACGATTTTTTGAATATTGTTTTAATAGAAGATTCAATTAATCCGCCCAAATGAATTACCTTCTGAACAGGTAAATTTCGCGCAAACGTAATGAGTTTTCTATCGCGAACGTTGTTTTTATAGATGTTAATGACCATAGTCTCCCTCCAAACATTATGAAATGAAGAAAATAAATTCCTCAACTAAGCCTCCCCTCCGTTTTATGATGAAATTCAGTCGACTGAACAGTCGTCTTTTTACTTAAACCGAACTCACATTGAAATTCAATATAAAAAAAAACTATGATTTCCGTACAGACCAACGGTCATAGATGTAAATTACAGGTCACCTTACAACCTTCAACAATTAACAACATTTCAAATCGTATAGTATGCTATGAAAAGGCGCCGATTTTACGAAATGTTAAGATTTTATTTTAAAAAAGCCAACCAAACGGTCCGATTTATACTACAATAGGAAAAAAAGCAACTATGACGTACAGCAACCAAATGGCAGCAACTGTATTACAACTTTATTTAAACTTTTTCTGTGCCGTTAGTAAATATGATGTTTTTAATTGATTAAATCCAATTGCAAACCATTGATTAGCAGACTACAGATTTGAATTTAATATATAATAGAAATCTTTCTTAACTAGTTCAGTGAAATATTTTTGAAATGAGTCCCCTTAAATTCATAATTTTCAGTGCAGAAAAAAAAGGTAAAATATTGCAAAATGCTGAGAGAGAGAAATCAATTTTGACATCATTGTCCTGCATATGTATGCATTTCATTTATCTGTCACTGACTTTAAACACATAGCAATCATTCAATCCTAATCATATACAATCCCATTAAATATATCCGGGCAGAAGGCTTCGGAAGCGTTAAGAATGAATTCTTTCAACGATTAAACAAACAAAAAACCGATTAGGGTTACTACTTATTCATCATGCATAAACAAACTTTCAAAAAGGTATACGTAGAACGCAACACGAAACAATCGCAAAGGTCTACAAAGGAAAGATAAAAAACGATCGTGGGTACAGTAATATTATGCACACATGAACATGCTTTGGTTTTTCTTCAGGAAGTAGTATTTTATACAGATGTAAACCATTTAGCTTCTATCAGTGTACAATGTAAAGAAACTGGATTTGAAGACCGATGTCAATATCTGTTGGTAAGTTATGGCAAATTGTGTGCTACTTGAACTTGCTCAAACGTTAACATTTTGCAAAGCCAGCTTAGACAAACTAGGTGAAATTGACATTCTACAACACTGACTAAGGATCTAAGAATATGAAGTATTATAAAATCAGGTAGTATTGGCTTATATTTGGTTGTTAAGTATGTACAAAGTTTAGAATAAAAGACCGTTTAAAAATTATGGAAATTCACGGAGATTCTATTCTCAAAAGATAGCAAAATTCAAAGTTTCTACCAAAAATGACTAAATTTGCATATATTGACACACATGTTGTAATGAGAAATATTGAGCACATGTAAAAGTGAGGCGAAAGATAAGGAACATACACACAAACATATTTACATTTACATGTTTATATAGACAAATTATATGGTAAATTTTAGTTGATACTTAGAGGTGCGCTATATTTATCGGTCCCCAAATTATTTGAAAAACGACAGCAAATCTAAGTTTTCACGAAATATGTAGAAGGGCCATTTCCCAAACTTCTCAACTGCATTTGTTGTAACATAATGGATAGAAAAGTACACTAGTTTCGCATCACCTCAACATTAAAACAGACACAAATGGAAACCTTAAATAAAAGTTAAAATTTTGGTAAAATATAGCCCTCATTGCAACCTGTCCTTTTCCTTCCAAGTTCTATATGTTTTTCAATATTTTAGAAAGGACGAATATTTTTAAACGGAGAGCACCATGTGATTAGACCAAGATCTGTAAAAAATTTATCAAATGCAGAAAACCACCACCTTATACCTCAGCAGGATCAAGTTATTGATTTTGGAAATGATGGTCGTGTAATTCCAGGTATGTTTGTAACAAGAACAATACTAAATTAACAAAATGTACAACGTTTAAGTAATAGCATATTCGTCTCTTCGTATTAATTTTCAAAAAGAAAACCACAGGGTCGAACTTACACCTGGTGGTCTTTTGAGTTCACGGTGAGAATATGTATTCATTTCCTACAAATCGATTAATATTAAGCGAGATTTCTTTTTGTTTTTTTGTATTAAATCAGGCCATTAGTTTTGTATTATAGATAGAATTGTTTGTATAAGGTAATTTCTTAAATGTATAATACACAGAGAGAGAGAGAGAGAGAGAGAGAGAGAGAGAGAGAGAGAGAGAGAGAGAGAACTGTTGACATTGCTAATTAACAAGTTATGTGAAATACATTTGATTCATTGTAATGCTGTTAGAAATATTTCAATAAGGAAAAACCAGAATTGATTGTTGATTGATTATTGTTTGCTTTACATCCAGTGGCAAATATTTCATGCAAGTTCAGGACTAGAACAAATTCACAATAAATGCAATAGGTAGGTCCTGTAATGGGGTCAACTTGAATGAAAAGCTGGGAATCTGGATTGCTACTGGAAAATGATGGTATATTGGATAGGGACAGAAATTCAACCTTGCAACAGACCACCTAGGGACTTCTCAAAAATATTTGCAAGATTTTAACTTACTAAGAGCGTGAAAACCTCTCTACGCATGCATCGGATTTAACGTGCCCATTCTGACGGGACGTGCCTGCGTATTTATACATCCTACACAGATCAACGGACGCCTAACCTTGTCAATGGTTTTATTGCCAGTCGGAATATTCCCAAGTCAACCTTGGGGTTAAAACGAAATCAAAGTAACATTGGTACCACGTGCCAATTTACGAGACCCATCTAAACGGAAGCAACTACAGATACAGTTACAACTCCATGAAATGACTACAATTAGCTTTAATTGTTGCACATCATGGACTATTTGGTAAAAGTACTGAGGTCTCCATAGAGTCCTACATCTTTTGTCATTTTTTATCCAACGACCGACATGAGCTCACGTTCATACTATATTGCAAATGGCTCTCCGACCAAAATATCTATCATTCTTTCAGTCTCCATCTTTATTCTTATATGCATGTCTTGACAGATTCATGGCTGAAGTCAATAGAAAACAGACCAAATTAAACATTATGAATGGCTTCCATAACTTTTTGGGATCTATACAGAAATGCTCAGTAATGTAGCAAACACTGTATCACCAGCCCAGTAGTCAGCACATCTGCGTTGGCCTGAATTTCATTGATATGGTCATAATTACAAATTAACTGTAAACAAAACTTTGAATTTGGTCGAAATACTAAAGATTACATTTTTTATGATAATGATCAAAGTTTCATTCGTTTATTTCAGAAGAGGTTATATTGCAAAATAAAAAGACTTCAAGGACGGTTGTAAGCGGTAACCCTATTGCGACAACACATTACAAAGTAGAACTACTACCTTGTACAGATTTTGGAATTTATGAATAGTAAGTATGTTTATTATAGTATTATTGGCATATATAGCAAATTTCTTCTTCACAACAAGCCTTCATTTCATTAAGATAAATGAATATATATAAACTTATAGATACCAGGATTAAAATTGTTTGCGCCAAACCCGCGTTTCGTCTACAAAATCCTCATCAATGAAGCTCGAAACCAAAAAGTTAAAAAGGCCAAATAAAGTACGATGTTGAAGAGCATTGAGGACCCGAAATTCCGAAAGGTTTTGCCAAATAAAGCCAAGGATATATTCCTGGGTTAGAAAATCCTTATTTTTTTTGAAAAAAATCAAAGTTTTGAAAATAGTTGATTTATGCTTATGACCATATCAATGATAATTCATGTCAACTCTGAAGTGCTGACTACTGGGCTGGTGATACCCTGGTGGAGTAAACCTCCACTAGTAATGGTATCGACCTAGTGGTTGTAAATAAACCCAGCATAGTAACCAGGATTAAAATTTTGTACGCCAGACGCGCGTTTTGTCTACAAAAGACTCATCAGTGACACTCGAATAAGTCCAGATAAAGTACGAAGATGAAGAGCATTGAGGACCAAACATTCCGAAATATATATAAGTCGCACACAGAAGAAGCATTTTTCTAACTTGGCCACTCAATATGGCATTTTTCAGCTCATCTTCCTTAAAGGGCACAAATGAAATGGGTTCATTTGACGTCCATCGTTCGGTTCAAACCTTTAAGAAAAGCCTCTTCTCTGAAACCACTGAGAATATATAAACAAAACATCTCCCCAAGTAACTTTCTATAAAGTTTTCAGTTTCGAAATTATATGCAACCATGATTCTTTCTAACAAACAAACAAGATTTGACAAAAAAAAACCCAGAAGTATAATAAACAACATTTTGAATTTTCTAAATGGAAAAGTATAAACAATTTTGGCCATACTTGTCATCATTACTAAAAAAGTATAACAAATTAGCTATCCAAAGTAAATTCAAAAAGGAGAAGTCCATAAAAACTGACAAATGCAAGCGTTATCAACCAACGGAACGAGTGCAAAACAACTATCATATTCCTGACTTGGTACAGTCATTTGCCCACTTGTATGACAGTTGTTTATATTTTCGTTATATTGACAAAATTGCGTAAGCAACCCAAACCGACATAATCGGTGATTATAATTGGGATCCAGCAGCCAAAACTGTGTAAATATACATCACAGTCATACAACACAACTGACTAAAAAACGTAAACAAACATACAAATAAATCTGACATAGACGCCAGCAAAAAAGGTGTTGTAGTTGATAGTAAATTTGACATAGACGCCAACAAAAATGTTTTTGTCGTTGATAGTAAATGAACAAAGAAGCTGATAAAAATACATTTGTATTTGATAGTTCATACCGTATATTCTATATACTTTCTCGATAAAGTAAAAAATAAGTATAAAATAAATACAAATGTAAACGAAATGGAAACAACACTATAAAAACTCTCATGTACCCGAATCTATTCCAAAAATAGATTTGAAAATGTAACAATAATTATATTTTCCAAAATGATATTTGTAATGATCCTATCCTTCTTATATAGATATAGGAAGATGTGGTATGAGTGCCAATGAGACAACTCTCCATCCAAGTTACAATCTATAAAAGTGAACCATTATATAGGTCAAGGTACGGCCTTCAACACGGACCATTGGCTCACACCGAACAGCAAGCTATAAAGGGCCCCAAAAAAAATTACTAGTGTAAAACCATTCAAACGGAAAAACCAACGGTTTAATCTATATAAAAACGAGAAACGAGAAACACGTATGAACTACATAAACAGACGACAACTAATGTAATCAGATTCCTGACTTAGGACAGGTGCAAACATTTGCAGCGGGATTAAACGTTTTATTGGTACAAAACCTTATCCCTTTTCTGAAACAATAGTATAACATCACAACATAGAAAAACACACTATAAAATATCAATTGGAAGGCTTAACTCAATCAAAAAACGTAAATTAACACACAATGAACGAATAAATTTGACCTATGACACCTGAATGCAAATACACAGTTAATAAAAAATTACAAGGGATAAATAATTAAAGTCAAAAGTAAATAAACAGGTTTAAACAAAGTTAAAGTGTGATATCACTATGAAATTTCAAACAATTTATAGAAAATCATAACTTTTGAAGAAACCTGAGTCATATTATACACAGGTAAATGAAAATAATTTTGTTGTTAAGTATACTTCTTCTTCTGTGTGTATAAAATCTTCCGTTTAGGAATACCAAGAAATCTCTTTAATATCAATAAAACTGATCAAACACTTGGTACATGTGGGGTGAATATCAACAATAAAAATATACAATTAGTGCTAGATAAAACTTCCTGTACAGGTCCAATAACAGCATCTAAGGAAAAATGAAATAATTTTGATGTTTATAGTACGAAGAAGTGAAAATTTGTAGTAATTAAATACCAAAAGATCAAAGCTTTTAAACAATTATGCTTCTAATATCAAAAATTAAAAATATATTTTAAATTTGAACCATTTTACATTGGCCTCAATCTTTACTAGAAAAGTAAACAATAGCTAACTTCATATATCATGTAAATGTTTTTTTTCGTTCAAAACATTTGGGAAGGATACTTTCATGATGGATTTTAATGGTTTTCAACCTCAAAATGCCACAACTGTTACTTTAAAGTAACAAATTTAAGAATTGTTATATTAATCTAAAAGACAGGTAGTAAGGCAATATTGGATAACACAATAACCCGACGAGAAAGCGAAACTACGTTTGTCGAAGTACAAATAGGAAAGTATAATCTGAATATCCAACGCGTCCCCCTCCCCTCTAAATGGTATATGTTAACAAACCTTGCGTTTATCAGCTTCTAAATGGAAAGAAGGTATCAAAGGCCAAACCAGAATTGCAATTAGACGGACTTAAACCACAATAACCTTGAGAAAAAAACAGGAAGAAACAAAACTGTTCACAAAACACCACAAAGAAAATCAAAAGACTCAACTCGAAGATGTGTACTTTCAAAAATAACTTTTCCTGTTCATTTAACACGTTTAGACTTCTGTCCCGACGTAGTCTTATATGTGGAAAATGTTGATCCTTTATAAATCCTTTAAACAAAAATAAGGAACTATTATTTTCGATTGACATATTTTACAGAAAATCATAAGAGATGGAACACAAATTGATGAAGAAGGCTCAATAGTTGTCGATACCTGTATCTTGGCATTGGACAAGTTCATGTTTTTCTCTGACTGTTAATGACGTCTTAACACTAAATCTATTGGATGCTAGATGTGTACTGATATTTTAGTCTTAGGTGCATGATTTCTTTATAAAATGTCATTGGCTTTGAACTAGCTGTCAGTAACTGCGAGTTCTCTCAGATTTGTACTTTGTGTCTTTTTTGTTGTAGGAATATATATATATATATATATAATGACTGCATAATAGCCAACGATAAATCTTACGGGGCGATGAATCATAAAATTATGATACAGTACACTACAAAATATAATATATAACAAGTCTAAAAGGGTACATCACCAAAATATAATAAAATCATGAACAAATTTTAGATATTTCGGATAACTATTATCCTTCATCAGTAAGATGTAAAATGAATCTTATCTTGACATGTGGTAGTCAAGCTGAAATAAAAATCTTGAACGCTATACAAATTATCAATAATCAATACGCTGAAAATTAAACCCAACAGTGTTAGAATTAGATTTTTATGCTGACAAATTTTTGTTCCTCAACGGGATTTGAACTCACAGCTTTGATACACTACAGCACCAATCGCTGAGCCTCATGTCCAGCGCTCTAGACCACTCGATTTATATATCCTGCCACGTCCGATATGTGTTTTTGTTAGATGTGTTTCTGCTTTGTATCGATCTGATGAGTTAAGCCCTTTTCAACTGATTTTATAGTTTGTTCTTTTGCTGTACTGTTACATCACAATCCCAGGTTAGAGGGAGGGTTTGGCACCAACAAACTAGTTTAACCCCGACACATTCTGTATGTGCCTGTCCCAAGTCGGGAGCCTGTTATTTAGTGGTTAACGTTTGTTGCTGTATATCATATTTGTTTTTCGTTCATTGTTTTGTACATAAATCAAGTTGTTAGTTTTCTCGTTAGAATTGTTTTACATTTGTCGTTTCGGGGCCTTTTATAGCTGACTATGCGGTATGGGTTTTGCTCATTGTTGAAGGTAGTACGGTGACCTACTGTTGTAATTTTTATGTCTTTTGGTCACTGGTGGAGAGTTCTCTCAATGTCAATCATACCATATCTTCTTATCTTAGAGGTCATTTCTTATTTTGGTTAAGTAGGAAAAAACACTTGCTAGATAGTATAGAATCACTCCAGTATCATTAGTGCAAGATTTCATTTTAATTGATGAGGCAGTTTCTGTGAAGAAGCAATGTGTATTTATTTCTGACAGGGTTCTATGTTAAACTTTGGTGGCAGATCTCTTCGATTTTGATTGGCAACAAAAAGTCAAAATAAGTGAGTGCTATCTAAAATCTCAAATCTGCAAAGTACCTTCAAATAAAAATGTCTTTCAAATTTGGTTCTTATTGGCAAAAGGTGTTTGAAGAAGAAAATCTAAACGTCAGAAGTTTACATACCCCGATCGATGGAGGCAAAGTGATGACAATACCTCACACTACCCTTCTATGCAGTGAACATGCTTATCTTGTGTTATATTAATTCTATCTTTGAACATGGTTTTTACTTAAACTGCAAAGGCCTGGTTGTCTTGTGTTATATTACTTCTATCTTTGACCATGGTTTCTACTTAAACTGCAAATGCCTTGTTATCAATATGTAAAAGAAAACTTTACCAAATTAAGATTAAATTTAGTTATATGCTTAATCCATTTTATGTGTCAATGATTTTTGACATTTCTAAGTCAATGAAGATATATTGTGTTGACTAAAAAACATATGATAAAGATGATGAAAAATTTTGTTGTTGAAGTTTTTGCTTTCAATAATGACCCGTTTGCAATAAATTGTTTTTGCAAATAGGAGTACTATGCATAAGTGACTCTATCTGTTTTAGAAATTTCCATAAAGGGCCATATCTAAACTACACTGACAATAAAAACCTTAAAGTCTTTTGAACGACCTTGACGACCCACGTGACATGGGTCAACTTTATTTTCATATAGGGTTGCAAAACATTACATACAATAATATCATGTTCTATATTATAGCTGGTATAATCAAAGTGCTGGGAATAATGAAACTGAAACTGAAAGGAACACAACTACAATTGATTCCATCATGGAGTACTACGCTTATGTTATAAATGATGTAAGTAATAGGGAATATTGTAACCAAATATTGTAGGAATAAAAAATAAGTCATGAATATAATTAAAAGACATTTAAAATGAAAAGACAGAAAAGCGCTTCGGACGCATGAAATTTATAACGTGTTGTTTTCATTTTTTTTTTATATTAAACAAAAAACCAAAGTTAAAAAAAAAAAAAATGGGATCCTGGTTTGATCTTTATATATTGTTTTGATTTCATATAATTTGAATGTCAAATTCAAAAACACGAAGAATTGTAAAAGAGCTAGTAGTTACAGTAAAAAAAAGTATTATGCGAATCAAATTTTTCGGTCAAACAATTTTTTATCTGTAGTATCACAAAAGTCACCAGCGAGCCTTTCAGAATAGATTTTATTTGTATAAGTTCAGAGAATGTAACATTCCCCAAAACATCCAATTAAGAAATAATTCTATCATGCCATGCTCTGTGTTCATTATAACATGGGTAGTCTTTATACTTGTCAATATCTTTATACTGAGCGTTAGCGACGTGTAAAATGTTGACAACTATAATGCCTACTACCCAAGTTAGAATGAGCATAGAGCATGGCACGATAGAATTATTTCGATTCTAATAGAAAACTTTAGAACTTTTGTATACCGAAGTGGATCTATAATACACGTTCGAAAGGAGGCCATTTTGATTTGATGAAGCCGAAACGATATGGAAAATCAACAGTTTCACAATAAAAACTGCAATTTCAATTGTAACGTCAATCACGCGCAGCCCATGTTCTATTGGAATTAGAACATGGCTTTGTTCCAAAAGCGAAAGAAGAACGTCATGTTATAATATAAGTTTAACTTTCTAAAAACTTGACTTCCTATTGATAAATTCATAAAGTTCCGATAAAAAGTATTTTCTATACCACATCTACCATTATATACCATATATACTTACAGATGAACGTTCATTATGAGAGTATTCAGGGTGTACCATGGGACATAGAAATTGTGTATGCTGGTATTTTTATTGCTACTGTAAGTTTTCGTTTTTTAATTAGACAGGTATCCATAATGGCACATGTTAAGGGGTTTATATGACTATGGCTAAACAAAATTTCGCATAACAAACATGTTACTTTTATTATTCTCCCCTTAGTTTATTTATTTTGTATTTACATTGTATCATATATCAAATTTATTTTTTCAGCGTATGTTCACTGGTGTTAATATGTCTTTTGATTGAGTTAAGCCATTTCAATTGATATTTTAGTGTGTCTTTATATGTTGTGATGTTACACTATTGTTTCAGATAAGGGTGAAGGTTTGGTAGCATTAAAACGTTTAAACTCGCTTCAATTGTGTGCACCTGTCCTAAGACAGGAATCTGATGTTCAGTAGTTGTCGTTTGTTGATGTGGTTCATAAGTGTTTCTCGTTTATCGTTTTTTATATAGATTAGACCGTTGGTTTTCCGGTTTGAATGGTTTTACACTAGTAATTTTTGGGGCCCTTTATAGCTTGCGGTTCGGTGTGAGCCAAGGCTCCGTGTTGAAGACCGTACTTTGACCTATATTGATTTACTTTTATAAATTTTGACTTGGATGGAGAGTTGTCTCATTGGCACTCATACCACATCTTTTTATATCTATTAAGTAGTATCTGTTTAATATTCATGCTTTTAAAGTAAAATATCTTGGAAAAAAAATTTGCTTGAAGTTGGACTTCGTAGTAAACGTATTTTTTTATGCACTCAGTACTTGGTCCAAGGACACAGTTATAGTCCCTAGTGTGAACAGTGTATAACTTGCATTTTTTTTGATACACTTTCCCAATTTACTTCTTGATATTTTATGCATGAAATATTAAGTAAGGGGATGAAATTACATGTTAAAAAAAATTGGGTGCTGAATCTTTAGGTTAAGTAGTGATTTGGCCCAGTTAAAAAAGGTCAAAAATTAGAATGTCTGAAGCTGTCAAACTGAATTTTAGCTCCCCCCCCCCCTTAACACAGAATTGTCAATATTTTGAGTAAGAGCTGGTAGAAGTTTCTATAATTTTGTTATTATTTGTATCAATAGTAGTACACTACACTGTAAAAATCTTTTTTAGATAGAGCAGGTGCGATTTTTTTAATTTGAATTTATTGTCTTAAAGAAATGCACTACGAAATAACTGTTCTCGGGCCACTTAAAAAAGGAAAACAGTGTTAAGGAAAAAGTATCAAGATTCATGGTACAACAATCGGCATATAACAATCAATTCTAACAAATTTAAAGAGACAATAAACCAACAAAATATAAAAAAAAACAATGTGAATTAAACAGAGATAACAGAATTGCAGAAAAGAAAAAATGAAGTGTTATCAATATTGATTGATAATTTGGTGTTTGTTTTACACCACCTAAGCAGAAAAGGCTATATGGCGGCGATATTATCATAACGATCGTCAACAATAGTTACACACACTTGAAAGCTTCTGTTCGGACAGATTCTGAAAAGATGTTTAATGACTTCAACAGAAGAAATATAATACATGTTTATGGCATTGGTACACATCACGAGATGTGGCAGGAAATACTAGCCTAAAATCGAACGAGTTAACGACGATTTTTCTTTGTTATTTGTATATCTACAAAATCAATTATCGAATCAGAAAAAATCTTGATTCAATCATTTCGGTATTGCAATTAAAAAAAAAACACTCACCCCAAACAGCAATGAGTATATAATAATTACTTTCGGAACTTTTAAAGTAAATTAAAGTAAACTCGGATAGATTTATCTTTTGATTTAAACTTTTACTATTTTATCAAATGCTCAACTATTAATAAAAAGAAGATATGATAAGACCATTGTTTTGTCATTTAAGTTCGAAAATTAAATCATAAATTTTAAATTAAAAACATATTATACTTTTATATTATGTCGTATTTGTCATATACATCCTTTAGATTTCTACGTCAGAAATCAATATTTAAACTTTCAATATTGTTTTACAAATCTGCATATTCACATTTGGGCTTCAAACTTCTTACATTCAATGCAAAACTGTCATAATATCATTTTGAGATATTGTGATAAAATTAAGATGTTAGCCATAATCTTACGCAAAAACAAAATGAAGAAAACAGACGCTTAATACAAAAATAAATTTTGTAAGGAATGAAGAATTTTACTTTTTAAATTTATATCTAGTCTGATAATGTTCGATATCCTACCTCCATTCATAGAGCATTGTTATAAATTGTGTTACACTGACTTAGTGATGCCAATAGTCATAAAGAAGGTTCCAAAATGATTTTTCTGGAAACAAATACATGTAAACAAAACAATCGGTATGCTGAAATTGTTGGCAGTTGTTATCAAATAGTCCGTTTCTATGTATGTTGGCGTTTGTTTTTGTTGCAGTTCAGTGTTTCTACTGCTCCTTTGTTTTCCTCTTATAGTTGATGTGGTTCCCTCGGTTTTAGTTTGTAACCCGGATTTGTTTTCGCCTAATCGATTTATGACTATTGAACAGGGGTATACTGTACTACTGTTGCCTTTATTCGTACTATTTCACTGAACAGATGATTTTTCATGTAAAGCTAGTTCTAAGATAGTTTATGAGTTGTGAAAAAGTGTTTTCATGTAGATTAACTGTAAACAACCATCTTGAACTGTAAAATAGCAGTTCACAATATGACTAGTTCTTTGCTCAAATCTGCAAATTTTGAGACAGATTGGCAATCAATCGGTTATACTGTTTATTTGAATAATGAAAAATAAGTGATATATTGCATTATTTATACTGATTTATAAAATACCAAATATTTATGTTTGTTCGAATTAAATTGTCAACTTAGCCATTTAAGCGGAAATAACTCAAATAGTTAAATTTTTATAAAGGAATGATAGAGGAATTTTTCAATTTTTACTTGTAGCAAGAAAACAAGGTCGGTGACACCATTTTCTTTTTATTATCGTAAATCATATCTTAAAACCTATCTTCTCATATTTTATTTCAAAATTCTATCTCATAGATTTCTTTTTATTCACAAACAAGTGTTTTTTCGTGAACAGTCTATGCTATTTTGGCAATTTTGCACGACTTGTAGCTTGAAAAATAGCACGGCGACCCATAATTTTTATCATATTTTTGAAAAAAGCATGGAAAATTTAAATCATGGCAAAATATAAAAAAATTATATCTGATGAAATATATAACAATGATCCACCTTCGAAATAAATGAATAAAAGTAACATTTTTCCGTTTCTTGTCGACTATTTTCACAGTCTCCAACAGAATCTACTTGGACAGAAAGCATAAAATTTCTAAGTTCTGGGGAATACATAGTTGACGGTGATGTTGGTTTGAACAACTTTAAACAATGGTTAGAAACAAATGCAGCACAGTTGCCCGATTACGACCACGCAATGTTATTTACACGGTAAGTTTCAAAAACTGTCTTCACTTTTTATTCTGAACATTATTAATGTTGCTTTGTCTGCCATACACATTTGTGCTCCTTTTCTAGCCAACTTGTTCTTTTATTCATATGCAGTTGCCCTTCAAGAAGAATGTAAAAACAACTTCAAATAAGAATACTTGAAAAACCTTCCAACATATGACTGCTCCCACTCTCAATATATTTACAAGGGTCTGGCCATGTAATAACTGATGATCTAAATATAATTCAACATGTACATCTACGGAAGACAATATCACAAGGTCCTAAATTTAGAGAGCCGCAACACATCAAAATTAATAATGGATTCAGTTGAGGAGTAAGCCGGAGCATAGACAAAACGAGAAAAGACACTCTGCCAGAATGCGCAAAAGCGATTAGGTCTTTCATACAATGTCGAATCCACAAGTTGAAAAACTGTGTAACTGATCGACCTAAGTCCGTATTTAGAGACAAAGAAATGTTTGTCTTCTCTTCACAGTAAATATGTTGTTGTTCCTGCACACAAAGCTTCAAACAATAGTGTTTTGTCTGTAAATTCTATTACTAGTGTCTTATCATAGAGTTAGGAATAAATTAACATTCGGGTAGTCCCCGTAAAAAAAACCATAACTTGTGATAAAAATGAGATCCTGGCAAACAATTCTTCCTTCATGACCTCATTGAATATTTCAATCAGCAACACATTTGAGGACCAGTTTGTTTGTATTGGATACCTGAACTTAACAATGCATTGCCGGCACATCTATATGTTCTACTAAGGAATTCTCACTTATATTAACCATCATTTTGTCTACAGTGAAAGATTGATTACAGAAATACTGTGATACAAGAACTCAAAAGAACTTCTAGAAAATTCCAAATCGCGGTCATTCTCTGAAATAAATTCTTTCCCAACCCTCAATCTTTCCACCCTATACATGAAAATTGAAAACCCGTTTCAAAGATAAATCCACAATGCTTTTCTCCATCAAAATGATACCATACGCTAAAAATGTTTAAATTTTGGTTATAATTCGGCATATTTTGTTAAAAATGAGCCCGAAGATAAAATATGTTACACTGAAGAACAAATAATCAGTATGCCGGAGTTTCTCATTTGCAACATATTTGTGGAATATGGAGGAATAATTTTCCAGCAGGTTGTCGTCATTTCTATAGGAATCATCTGTACACCTATCCTGACCGACCTTTACGTATTTTCAAATGAGTTGGAGTTCCTTCAGACACTTATTAAGAAAAAGAAGACCAAAGAAGCTAGATCATTTATTTGACAGTTGTTTTCCATTCGTTTGATGTATTTGAGCTTTTGTTTTTGCCATTTGATAAAGAACTTTCCGTTTTGAATTATCCTTGGAGTTCGGTATTTTTGTTATTTTGCTTTTTAATATCAGAAACAGGTGTATTGATGATGTTCTTACCATAAACAATTTAAATTTTTCTGATTAGGTCCCATTGATATACCCTATTTAACTAGAACTTAAAGAAATCACAGATACAAATGCCTACGTCTCATTTCTAGACATATATCTCGAATTTGACTACGGCAGTGATATCAATACCAAAATATATGATTGATAAACGAGACGATTTCAATTCTAAAATTATGAATTTTCCTCACCGAAAAATGCTTTTTCACCGGCGTATTGAGTACATATTTTTCAACTGATAAGATTTCTAAGAGCTTGCAGATGCTACTCAGATTTGTTAAACATCATCGGTGTCTGAGAAAAAAAATCATTAAGCCCGGGTTTTGTTGAAAATAGTCTCGTCCTTTTTTTCAAAAAGTTCATATGTAAGTACCAAGATCTATTAGGTAATAGATTAAAGGTGCTGAAGTTGTGTATCTTTTTATTTACTTTTACAGTTTTTCCGTTATTTGTCTTTGTGCTATTATGTTCCTTTTGGTCGTATGACCGTTGACGTGACTCGGTATTTAAGCTTCTAGATATCGAGTTTTTGGCTTTTGACAGTGAATGTTTATGGTGTTCGTGGGTCCAGAGGTGTCATTCGAAAGCAAGAAGTTTTTACAGTGTTGTTTTTATTTTATTTACTATGGTATTTATAATTTAATTAATTTGTAGTTTATCGGGAAAGTGATTACTTATACGACATCTGTACCAAGTCAGGAATATAACAGTTGTTTTCTATTCGTTCCGTTAATTGGCAAAGCCTAACGTTTAATTTTGTCAGTTTTTATGGACTTCAACTTTTTGAATTTACCTTGGAGTTCGGTATTTTTGTTAATACTTTTTCATATCGCGCTTAAAAATATGATGTTATTTCACGGAAGAAGTCAATGTTTTCTGACTAATATGACCGCATCTATTCCATGTCACTTGCATATGAAGTACAAACCTGTATTAAGCAGTCACTCATGGGAAGTATCAAAAGTGACCTTTAAATGAAGTTCCGAAAAAAAAATCCGATTCCGACATCACACATGGCCGGGATCGGGGATGATTGTTTTTATAGTGTTTTCAATCAGTAAAGTTATCGTTCGTTCGAGCAAACAAATAACAAATGTCGGATTCCGGTGCTATAAATTTTGAAGAAAACAGTCGAAATCATTAATATTCGTGGAGAAATAAGTCGATGATACAATTTTCAATGAAAACTGAAAGGAGTGGAACACGAGAAATTCATAAATTCACCCCGCATGTGCAATCTCAATTGCCATCGGGTTCCGATTCTCATCTTAAACTCGATACTGAATACATATATTTTCGTCATGATTTGTTTGGCTGTTAAAACCTGAAAATGACCGTTGTTAAATGTTGAATTGACGATTTTTGTGCGAAAATAAGATGGTTGCGTTAGACAGTTGATCCATAAAAAGAGTTAAATTATATAGAGAAAATGTTTGGGAGGGTCTGAAAGTGAACGTTAGAGGCAGGTGACCGCAGAAGGAAAAAATTATCCAAAGGTCCAAATATATTTGCAAAGACACACCGGTATCAGCTTAACAAATGTTGAAGGAGACAGAGTTTTACTAATATCGTTGTCATCTCAAAAAGTATAGGCATGGGTATACTATGAGAGCTTTTCTAAAAACGTACTTTTTCCAATCATATCCAACTATCGCGGTCATCACGTGACTTTTACACTTCAGTTATATATCATTAATGGCCGATTTATTATCAATGAAAATGAACGGGGTACATAGATTAAACGGTCATAACTTTTTTTGTAACATTGTGTATTTTACCTCCCAACCCCGCGTTTTACAGTATATTCATTTTTACAATCAAAAATGTTTTAAGTTTCAGTTCAGATATATGATTTCTGGCTTCAAAATAAGTTTGAAAATTGAGGTGACATAACCACACAGCCTCTGTTGACTTCTTCGTTAAAACTCGATAAAATTGCAATTGGACCTTATTATATAATCAATTTTCTCAACTTATTTATTGTTACTAATATCCTCCCAACCCCTAAAAAGATCGACAACATATTCATATCAGTTTAGGTATCAAACTTTTTGCCTCAAAATTTTATTGAAAAGTTCACATTTTGGCATTCGTTGGCAATATTTTAAAAATGGCGGCCGCTGTTGGGAGTAAACAACGACACGACATGCCGGTATTCATTTAGTTATTAATCAAAAAGTAATATTTCAAATATTTATTGAAGTGTGTCTTATTGTATTTAAGAAATTTCTTATTTCACCTTTCTTTAATATATTTATTAGAAACAGTCTCTCGCACTCAAAATAAAGATTTATATGCATTAACCATTCAGTTTACATTGACAGCTTGGGCCGACTTGTGAAGATATATTTTGTAAGATATTTACGATGAAAATCGAATAAATGTTGGATGCATGCCTTTTTTAGTAATTGTCTTACCTTAAAGCAGCATAGAATCAAACATCGTTTCTCTTTGTTAAAGTGGATACATGCTGTTTGTTTTGATAAAATTTCGAAGTTACGTAAAAAAATGGCGACCAAATAATTTTCAAACGTAGACGATGTTCGACACTAATTTTACCCATGCAAATGATTCAATTTGATTCCACTGTTGATATTGCAATTAAGTATGACACGCTAGTGTCACTTTAATAATACCTAAGGACATAGCTAGATTAAGGAGATATTAAGTCATCAACGTGATAAAAGAAAACAAACATGGCACCTAATCACGATGTAAGTTTTGACAAGACCTGTGTACATTTAGATAAGTATTGTTCGATTCTTAATGAAATTATTTTATGCTATTATTTATATCAATAAAAGAAAACCTCGAATGGATGGTAACCGAGGTGAAATATCTATATTTTTTCAATTTTCTACTCATCACACGGGTAACAAGTAAATTTGACATAATTCTTATTTAACAAGTAACATGCAGAGTTATTGAACGTAACTATGACTGGAATAGTTGCATATGAGGCAACAGGCAGTCTCATTTCTTGAAGATTAATTCCACCTTTGCATAAAATATAATTAATACAGCATCTATTACAAAACGATATTAAGGTTGAGATGTTCTAATGTTAGCAAAAGTTTCTTTCTAATTTGATATAGCTCATTTTAAAATAATCCAGCAACACCTGATTCTGATAGCAGAAACACAACCAAGTATATCTGCCTCTGATTGATTGATATTTGTTTTTAACGTCCACTGGCTAATATATGATGCATATTCAGAGAATACATACTTCATAAATCTTATAAGTAGTTTCCGCAAAGTTCATCAGTTAGAATCCGGATGAACGGCGGGGAATGTAGACCGTCGCTGGAAAAAGTGCATTTTAATAGTAGAAACTTCGCTTTGTCACATACTAGTATTACATACGGATTCATTTGGGAAATGTTGCAAGGTGTTTTTTATATAATTTTTCATCATCTTTCGCGTGACTTGAATGCGTCTTTACGTCCGTACAACCAAATGGTTGCCATTGTTTAGCATGGTTTTAACTACCGGATGTGAGAAATAGTTGTCAATGTTTCTATACCAAAATGAATCCGTTGTCATTCTCTG